ATTTTATAACAGAAAATATCAAGATGTAAACTAGCTAATTATTTCATCAGAAAATTGTTCATAAGAATTTCTACAATGGAAGCATTGTTAAAAATCAGACAATACATACATTAATGCAGAGTTTTCATACTATATAAAAAATGTATAATGACTGATTATAACATGGATAAAGTGAAAAAGGCTATCAGAAGTCACAGCAGTGACTCCTCATCAAGTAAAAATGTCACAGACTGACTATTATATATAGGAATCAGAGTTGCTGATTTTCAAGGGTCGATTTATTTGCCCCCCAAACATCTGAAGTAATTCTGAATATCTTATTCAAAATAAAATTGTTTTCTTAGGCAGTGTGCAAAATTTCAAGATTTTCTGTTATGTGGTTGCTGAAATAAAAGCAATTGAAAAGTGCAAAAATCACCAAAAAAGGTGTATTTTCTTCTTCTTCTCGATACTGCAGACACTTGTAGAGAAAAAACTATTGGATGTAGAAAGCTCAGATTTTAAACTTAAGCCTTTCTCATTATCAGTGAGGTGCTTGCAAAACTTCTTCTGAGTTGATAGGTCAAAGTTCATGGGGGTTTACCATAGAGCTAATTTAGTTTTACAGCTTAATTTTATGCTTACAAGAATAAAATTGTATGGAAACAAATGAATTTTATTCAAAATGTTACTCAGAATTACAAAAGCTCAAATTTATGCCAATTAAAACTTTTTATAACAATTTTTATAAACAGTGTATTAAAAGCATCAGCCAGAGGCACATTCAGTCAATAACATACGATTCAGTTGGTGCTTGATGTCTTATGTCTTAATGTAATAATACAATTATTAAACAAAATCAATTGATGTCCAAACAAAAACATCTGAGATGAAAAAAAAAAACATCAAGTAAAAATTTATGACAATTTAGACTATGGTCAAAATTTTCCTTAGCAGTTTTTCTTTGATAAAGACAAGCTTGGCACTTGGAAGCAGCAACCACAATACTTTTATCTGTATTATTGTTTTCTACATTTTGCCTCCAAGTGCCAAGTTTGTCTTTACCAAAGAAAAACTGCTAAGAAAAATTTTGACCATCATTTTAAATTGTCAAACTTTTTAAAACTCAGATGTTTTTGTTTAGATATTATAGTATAAGAAAACAGATAATGGACAATTTCAATCATTAATTAAAAAAAACCTCGTATGTATTGTCATAAAATACAGGAAAAGCACTGAAATGTTTCTAGTGACTAGTTATATCTTATCCTAATTCATAATATTAGATGTTTTCTATAGTACAGTCAAACCTTGGTTTTCAAACTTAATTCATTCCTAAAAGTTATTCAAAAACCAAAAACAAACTTTCCCATAAACAATATAAAATGGATTAATTTGTTCCCGATCCCAAAACAAAGCCTTATTTTTTACCTGTTTAGCTATATTTCATGCATAAAAATGCCTACACATACAATATAATATACAGTAATACCCCGAACTTAAGCGATAGGTGGGACCGAGCGGTAACCACATAAATCAAATTTGCGTAAGTCGGGGTATAATTTCACATATAAATACATACAAATAATTTTTAATTGGGGCCAGAGACTAAAGAAAACAATAATTTAGAAAAAATGTTTAATAAAATCTTAGATAATACATATGTATAACAAATTAGGCCTATATTATTTTACAATTTTTCACATTTACTTGATTATTACGCCATAATTTTAACATTGTTTCCATCTCAGCGATAATACTGTGACGTTTATGAATGATGCTCGAATTTAAAGATTGAGCATTTTTCACAGCTTCGAGAATTTTTTCTTTGCCTTTTATAATTGTTCTGACCGACAATTCCGGTAGATCAAACTTCTTTGCCAATTCACAAATTTTCATTTTTGTATCGAAGTCTTTAATAATGGGTACATTCGTAAAGTCAAACGAGTTAAACACGTTAGTAACGAATCATTCAAAAAGTCTAACGAAATAGGAATAACAATGACTTCATTCTCGCTTAACTCGTTCAACTTTACGAACATACCCAATGTTAACTTTACATTCCAAAGATAAAGTTTTTCTTTTCTTGTTTGATGCAGAAGAATTAGTTCTACTTCATTTGGATGACATAGTAGTCTCTCTCAAGTCTCCGTAGATATAACAAACACAGAAATAAATAACACAAAATAAACTGTAGCTATGTGTCAATTGTGCGCGACACACCTGAACATGTAAGCTGAACAATAGTGTGGGGGGAGTGAGTAATCAAGGGTTGCGTCATGCTCAAACAAAAGACAAATCGACGAGATTTGAAAATCATGTAACTCTGGGTTCGCGTAAGTCAGGGTAGCATAAGTCGGAGTATTACTGTATTATCTATATCTATGTGTATATCTATTTTCAACACATATTAAAAGTAAAATGTTCCATTACTGCCAACCAAAACTAAAACTTTACAAAGTAAAGTGTTATACAGATGCTATACAGAAAGTGTTATACAGACATGCTATACAGATGCAATTCTTACTGCCTGCATTCAAATATAGTGAAATCAATCAAGACAAACAATAAGTACTTTATCCACACTTTCCAAAATATTATGTTTCAATTGACTTGATTTAAATTTTAACTAATTAATTAATTTTGATTTTATTTTTAGTTTCAGTTTTGGTGTAAAGGCCAGAGTTTTAATTTTATTATTTTTAGTTTTAATTAACTGGCTACCTAACATTAATAAATATTAATATTATAATATATAATATTATATTAATAAATTTTTGTTATTTAATACCTTTAATTAAATACAAAATCTTGGATGCACTTATATTACACAAATGTCAATTAACATTGCTTTTATTAATTAATTTGATTTCAATTCAATTGCAATACACAAAAAAACAGAAGTAATATTTTACCTGCATGCACATTGAAATCTAATTTGAATAATGTCATCATCAATGATTAATGTCACAACATCTAATGACGCAAGGCAATCTCATCACCGTAACTTCTAAATCAGTAGTCCTATCATTGATTGGTCGGGCCATCAACTTTCTTTAACATGAGAAGTATAGGCATTGGTGTAGCCAGAGTTTTGTTACGGGGGGGCCTAGTAGAGGCCAGCCTGACACAAAATTGAATTATTTCAAATTATTGTTCATTAAAATGAAATTTCCATAGGAATCTACAATAACTTAACACACATATAATATAAAACTTCCTTTAATCATACGTTCTCGTAACATTAATATCAAACTCTAGGTCTTAAACAAAAATTAACCATTTTGTAGAAAAGGGCTGGCAGAATTACAATTTAATAAAAAGTAAAATACATCACAAATGGATACAAGTACAATTTTGCTTGCCATGTCCAATCACCAGGAACAACTATTTCCATTGCAAAGACAACCTTTCTTTAGAGGCTATGCCTCTGCACAAATATGTAAAACAGTTTAAAATGTCCTCTGCATGTTTTGCATATTTGTGCAGAGGCATAGCCTCTAAAGAAAGTTGTCTCTGCAATGGAAACAGTTGTTCCTGGTGATTGGACATGGCAAACAAAATTGGACTCGTATCCATTTGTGATGTATTTTACTTTTTATTAAAAAAACTAACCAATCAATTATTTTTTTAAACCATTCTTTAATATAGTTCACCGTCTTTAATCTAGATCTAGACCAGGGGTGGCCAACAGTTTTTTTCTCCCTGGCCGAATTGGAAAGAAAACTTTTTTCACTGGCCAAACCAGAGGCAGCCCTAGAAAGATTTTTAGGTGATGCGAGATCTTATTGTGGCATCACCCCTTAGAGACTAAACTGTACATAGAGATTACAGATACACTTTTCACATTGGGCACAGAAAGCCGTTGACCTTTTTTTTTTATAGGAGGGGTCAGAATTTCTCAACTTTCCTATAACTTCACATTTTCAAGATATAAGGAATTATCGTGGATCCATTCAAGCAATTATTTGAAGTTAAGTCCAATATTCAAAGATTAATCACTGGCCGCATAAATCCATTAAGTGGGCCATATGTTGGCTATGCCTGATCTTGACTTTCAGTGGGTCCACTACACCCAATTAAATTAGCTTCAGCTTTTTATTTCTTTTTGCAAATCGGCTCAACACTTTTTCGACTGTAATTTTTTTAATTTTTAATTTGCACTGGGGGCGCCATGCCCACCCATGCCCCTTGGCTACGTCCATGAGTATAGGAAGTTGACTGTCTATGAACGGCTTTTGCCAAGTACTGTGCCTTGTTCAGCAACTGAATTATTGTATGGAAACAACGGCAAATGTGGCATTCAAAATGTTGTTCATAAACAGAAGTGTTCAAAACCCGAAGTTTGACTGTACTTTAAGAGAAGGATATACAATATGTCAGTACCAAATTTTTTACTTATTGTCATATTTGTTTTTTTAGTGCCATAAGTGGAAACTGAAAAGCAAATGAATAAAAATGTTGTGTTTAAAATATTAAAATTATATGAATAGAAGATAATAAAATACAAACATTTTACAATATTTTAAATTAAAAAACCTTCATACACGAATACTGGAACGCATATAAATTAACACTCAAAAAAACCTTAACAGTCCAGTACTAAATATTTAATAAAAAACAAACATTTTTGACCATACTTTAGGTCTTCTTCAAGTTTAAAAAACCAGTGAGATTCAAACAAATGAATTCGAAGAACAAAAATTACGAAATTGTTTTCAAAAAACTGGAACAGCACAAGCAGGTTTTTAAAACAATGGAACATTCTAAGCTTGCATGTAAACAGTTATGCATGTGTGTTACCATGATGATGAAATGGTATATGTAGTGCAAACATTGATATAAGGAGAGTGGGGTGTGATTTCTAACTGCTGGTGCAGGGGTTGCCAGTTCCTTCATAGCAGTACCTCCATGCACGAGACATATTGATGGCATCTTTACAGTTAATACAATTGGTATGTAACTGTTAAGGTTTTTTTGAGTGTTAATTTACAATTTTTTTATATAAAAAATTATCTAACCTCATAAGCTTTGTTTATTTCAATAAACTTTTCTTCAGCTCCTGGCTCTTTATTTTTATCAGGATGCCTAAAATAAAAATAACAAAACTGATTATTAAATCAGAATTTAAAAACTTAAAGCTAGAATCTCCAACCATTTCCAAAGAAAGTTGGAGATTCACATGAACAGGAAGGGACACATGAACAAAAGACATAGTCAAAGATTAAGATTTTTTTATTTCTGAATAACAATAAACATTACTAACCGTAACTCAAACTGGTTGTATATGCAACAAACAACACAAAAAAAATACCAAGAAACAAGTAAAACACAAAAATATTTTATGCTACAAATATTTTCTTTCGTCTACAATAAACATCAAATATAAAAATAACAGAACATGTTTTTTAAATTAAATACATCCAAAATTCAAAAATTTAAAAATAGATATGTCCAAAACTATCAAATTTCTACATCAGTTCAATCAATACATACCAAGCTATAGAGAGAGAGAGAATCATTCTCTTTAAACTTAATTGTTTTGTTTTGTGTTTCTTAATTGCCTTGTAAATCTCAAACACATTGAGATGTTTCAATCATACCTGATCTGTTGTGTGATGTGATATATTAGGGTGAATCAAATGAAAACGGAACAGTAGCCATTATTTATTTTCAAATGTAATCACCAAAATTACACAAGCACTTGTCCCACTGTTGTACCAAGTGGTGAATACCTCGTTCATAGAAACAGTTTGGCTGAGATTAAAACCAGTTTCGGACAGTGTCCATGATTTCGCTGTTTAACTGAAAACATCAACCCAGCAATGCTTTTTTTTAGCAGACCAAAGATGTGAAAGTCACACAGTGAAGGGTCGGGGCTATATGATGGGTATTCCAATGCACTCCACCGAAATTTCGCAAACATGCTCAGTGTACATAATAATAATAATAATTTATAGTATTATTTACATTAACGAAAAATGGGACCTCATTGGACTTCAATAAGCCCTAGGCCCCAAAAAACCTAGATCCGCCTCTGCATATAAACATCAACAACCGTAGCCCGTTATATAATAAACACACCACACTATATGCCAAATTCTTAAGCTATGTAAAGGCTATAATTAAATATTAGAAATTAAATAATTTGACTAGAGGTAGGCAGTTATGCTGCCATCTCGTATTAAATTTAATGACCGATTCCAAATTAAATATCAATTTTTTTTTTGTTTTCGGCAAATCAAATTCTCATTCTAGGTTGGTTCATTCTGCACTAGAAGAAATGATGATGATTCACGCTCCTTAACAATGTATATTGTATAATTTTCTTTGAATAAACATTATACACAAAATAGTTGAGTATTTTTTTCCAGCATGGAACACATTACCGTATTTTACATTAATTTATATGGGAAAAATTGTTTTGCTTAACGAGTATTTTGCATTAGGAGTAAGATTCTGGAACGAATTATGCTTGTTAAGCAAGTTTCCACTGTATTCTTTTTGCAGAACATGCATCATTGACCAATGAAACTAGTAACAACCAGTTTTGCAAGAAATTTAAAGTGCATCAATCTATTGAAGAATGGTCAATAAAGTTTTCACAAAAAAGTGGCATTTTGCAAAAAAGGCTTCAACATACAAACAAGATCCTTGCCCTCAGTTATCTCCAGCAAAAATGAGTGAAAAAAAATTTCTGAATGAAGTCTTCTAACAACCTACTAGAGTAAGTATCATGTTTTCACCAATCACTTCAGAGGTGCTGGGTATATGTTGCTATGGGTTATCCCTAAGGGTAGGGCTATATTAAATATACAGGTATACCTCAACTTACGTCATTTCGAGTTACGTCGTTCCCGATTATACGTTGTTTGTCAAAAAAGTATATGGAAAAATAAAAATCAAGTTTGTCATTTTATTCGACTTTATGTCTGTCCGCCACAAATATTGAAGTTATAATATCACTAGAAAAATGTTTAAAGCACATAAAATCATATTAAAATATATACATTTACAAGTATGTACTGTATTTACAGTACATGCATTCGTAAATTTAGATTACTTTTTTCTGTACTATATTACAAACTAAAATTTATTTGTTTGTAAGCTTAAAATAGATCCTTATTAACCATATATTATTAAAAATGCATTAATAAATAAAATACAGAAC